AAGATGGGCATGGATGTTAGCCCAGGGCCAGTCTTCCTCAGCAAAAAGAGGAGGATTGGCAGATGTTAGCTCAGGGCCGATCTTCCTCAAAAAAAAAAAAATTTTAGATAGTTATTTCTATCTTTTATAATATCTATGTTTTTATGTCTTGATTATGTTTCCCCTAACATAAGCTTATACCTGTAGTCTCCTAGATTTTCTTGCAAGATTTTCATTATTTAGTATATATTTATATTTAAGTCTATCTGGACTTTATTTTTGCAAATGGTGTACGGTAGAAGTCCAATTTGGTTTTCTTTCAGATAAATAGCCACTTGTGCCAGCATCAATTATTATGTAGGCTGTCTTCTTTCCTATTGAATTGAAATATCAACCAATTTGATTATTAAGTTCTCAAAGATGTAAGGATATTTTTTTCTGGATTCTTTACTGAGTATTCTGGATTCTCTATGATCTAAAACATATTAGTCTATTGTGTCTTTATGGCACATTCTCATATGTGATAGGGCAAGTTTCCCCTTCTTCAAAATTTTCATACTTTTCTTGGCAATTTTCAGGCAATTATTTTTCCATATAAACTCTAAAATTATTTTTTTCAACTAAAAATCATCCTAATTGGAATTGTACAAGTTTACGTATTAATATTGGAAGAATTGACATTTTTATCGTATTTCTTACTATTTATTTGGATCTTGTTTTGTGCTCTTCAATAAGATTTCATAATTTTCTTCATATGGGTTCTATGTCTTTCTTAATAATTTTATTCTTAATTACTTTAAAGTTTTGGGCACTATAGTAAAGGATTATTTTTTCATTTCTAGGTGCATTTTGCTATAATATTGAGAAAAGCTAATGATTTTTATATACTTATCTATTATCCAGTCACGTTACCAAATTCTCTTATTAATTCTAGTAGAGGTTTTTTTCCTCACTAGAGTCGCTTGAGTGTTCTAGGTATATAACCAAATTATCAGCACAAAGAGTTTTTAATCTCTTCTCTTTTAACATTATATGTGCTAATTCTTTTATTTTAATTCATTTTGTCAGTCTTAGGAAAATGTTGGAAAAATGACATAGGAATAGAAAAAGGCTTATCAGAATATAAAGAAGCCAATAAAAGGCCTGGAACAATAACTAGTGTAAATGATGGATATTATTATCATTATTTAAATTAATCTTATATCATGCTAGATAATTAAATGAGAATAAAACAGGTGATAATTTTGAGAAATTGTTTTGTACAGATTGAATACTGGAAAGGTAAAAATTAAATGTATGTATTTTGCTTTATGCAAAATCAACCTAAAAATATGGATTAACATAAGAGATCTGAGGGTGATTATTTGCTATACCTAAGAAATTGTCAACAGACTGCCTTTAAATAGAAAATATCTATGATGTCTTTAAAATATTATTTCATTTAAAAAATTTAGCTTATGTATAACACTTCAGGTCAATTTCTGTTGTTTAAGATGAGATATACTACACTGTGCTATATTTAAAATGTGGCTGTTAATTAGGAAAAATAGAGTTATCTTAGAAATATTTTAGCAAGAACGTGAAATAAAGAACAGTGACTAGGAGTTGGAAGATCAGGATTTTAATTCCTCTTACTAGCTCTCTGATTTTTGGATAGTCAATTAACTTTCCCAAGCCTTAGCTTTGTCAGTGAAAGACAGTTATAATACTATCTGACCTGCTTACCTTACAGAATGATTGTGGTATTCAAATTAAATGAGGTAATGTATATGTGATATGCACATATAATGTATATGAAAGTGCTTGGGGTATGAGGTGCACTATAAATGTACAGTGATATTATTATTAGATAAATAGATATTTCTGCTCTTATTTTCTTTTTATTGATATGATTGGGATGCCATTTGGATGAGGTAAAGAGGAACTTGACCATTTGAAGAAAAATATCTACAGAACAGAGCTAAGCAGTATCAACATTTTCTAGCTAGGAAATTGCCCCCTGCTTTAAGATTACGTTGTAGATAGAAAGTATTCTGTTGACTCTTACTGATAGAAAAGGTTAGCTGGAGTGTTAGGAGTTAGTGTGTAGGAGTAGGGGTTGGGTGTGGACTGCATGAGCAACTTGACTGGAACTTTAGAATAGTCCATAGATTTGTTTGAACATAGGTACTTTTTGCATTCTCTATAAGCTTTGGTTTTAATTGCAATGAAGGCTTGGTACCACCTATTTTTGGCTGAAATACACTGCTACTTCTAATTCAGTAGCTAAGAAATATTTGTAATTTTAGTCAATTTTTCTTTTTCTAAGGTAAATTAAACAATTTATTTTAACTTTTTGTTTACATATTTGATAACAGGTGGTGTTTATGAAGATTCATGTGCTAGTCATGGTCCAATGAGTTTGGGAGAATTGGAGTTGCAGCCAAATTCTAACCTTGCTCTTTCCACAACACTTCTGACAACACAGGAAGATGATGTTAAGTTATCAGTAATGGCTGAAGATTTTCCTCAGGTACCAATTAATAGCATTTGTACTTTACTTAGAATGAGAACAGCAGCATGATACACTCTCAAGAGCATAGTCTTTGGAGTCAGCTTCAAATCATGCCTCCTTCATTTACTGACTCAAGCCTGGATACAAATCTTTGCTCATCTGGTTTCTGGCTGTGACCTTGAATACATTACTTAGCCTTTTTCTAAGCCTTAATTTCCTCATCTTTCAAATAAAGAATAAAAATATACATGTATATAAAATGCCTGTCACCTAGTTAGGTAGCTGTGATCATTTACACCTCTGTATCCCCATGCAATATCTAGCTCAGTAATTTGCACATATTAGGTACTCAATAAATATTTATTACATTCAAATTTGCAAAATGTGTTACCATGAAAGCATAAGAAATTTCTTGCTGAGTTAAGCCAATGGCCTGTGTAATCTTGTGCCCTCAAAAAATAGGATAATTACTCTCCAAGATGTAAAAAAAATGCTTAGGTTATTAAAAACAGTTTTATATCTGTGTAATAGCGATGCATTTCTCACTGTGGATTAATTTATTCAATAAGTATTCATTTTATGGTATTGTCTAGAATTACATGGTGTTGAGAATTGTTGGTTCACAACCTTGGGAGCTCCCCGGGTGAAATCTGAAACTGGCCCCATACACAGAGGACAAGGAGAAATAGAAGAAAGAGGCAGACCATTCAAGATTGGAAGGTGGCAGGTTTAATAAGCAAGGGAATTTACTTAAGAGGCTTGTCTTGGGCGGCCGCAAGATGAGTAGATCTCCACACTTGCCTGCCAGAATCTTAAAAGTTTATACAGAGGCCTTAACTGGGTTCAGTCATGTATTCAGTCCAGATGGTCTCAGTGACATCTTACTCTTTCAGGACTGTGTCCTTGAAACGGCTGTTAGTATGGGAATAGTAGGCAGGACATACACTCCAAGGACAGGGGAGGGAGTGAGGAGCCTCTGATTACCCAGGTAAGGCTCGCAGGTCAACTGGCAGTCACGTCCTCTTGAAGACCTCTTCCGACAAGGATGAAAGGCCAAAATATATAAAATAAACATATGGAACACACCATTATGTAGGGTTCAGTATTAATAATCTATGATCAAGCGAAGATCAGGAAAAGCTAGTTAGTAATGAATAAGTATCTGTTAATAACTTGTGTATAAAAGAAAAATTGTGACCTTGGGTTAGGCAAAAATGATACCAAAAGCACTATCCATGAAAGAAAAAAGTGAATAAATTGGTTGTATCAAAAATAAGAACTTCTGCTTTTCAAGATCCACTGTTAAGAGAAAGCAAACACAAGCCAGAGACTGGGAGAAAATATTTGCAAATCACTTCGCTGATAAGACTTGTATTCAGAATATATAAGGAACTCAGAGAATTCAATATTAAGAAAATAAACAATTCAATTTAAAAATGGATAAAATATTTGGACAGATACCCTTATCCAAAGAAGATATACTGATGTGAAGTAAGCACATAAAAAGATTTTCAGCATCGTTAGTCAATTGGAAAATGCTAATTAAAAACACAATGAAATACTACTACACACCCATTATAATGTTTAAAATTAAAAAGACTGACCTGCCAAGGGTTGGCAAGGATGTGGAGCAACTGAACTCGCGTATGCTGCTGGTTGGGAATGTAAAATAATTCAACCACTTTGGAAAACAGTTTGACGATTTCTTAAAAAAGTAAAACATACACCTACCATATGATCCAGGCATTTCACTCCTAGGTATTTACCCAAGGGAAACTAAAATATATGTCTACACAAAGACTTGTACATGAGTTTTCATAGCAACTTTATTTGTAGTAACCCAAAACTGGAAACAACAGAAAATGTCCATCGCTTGGTGAATGTACAAATTTGTGGTATAATTTATACAATGGAATACTACTAAGCAATAAAAAGGCATGGACTACTGATACGTACAATAACATGCATGATTCTCACAAAAGTTATGTTGAGGGAAAGAAGCCAGACCACAAAAAAAGAAGTATATACTCTATGATTCCATTTATATAACATTCTAGAAAATTTACAAACTAATCTATAGTAACAGGTGGGAATACAAAAGGGTATGAGAAAACTTTTGAGATTGATGGCTGTGTTCATTATATTATCTTGATTGTGCTGATGGTTTCAGGGGTATATGCATATGCCAAAACTTAGCAAATTGTGCACTTTAAACGTGCAGATTATTGTCTATCAATTATATCTTAATAAAGCTATTTAAAAAATAGAAAGATTGCTTTCCTTTAATTGTTGGCCTGTTTTAAAGTAAAACTACTAAGTGTTACCAGAAGAATGGGCCTCAAAAATTTTGTTAGATTTCTTTAACAGAGAAGTATGGCTATTTATAATCCTTACTCTGCCAGATGCTGTTCTAAGTTCTTTACACATTTAACTCATTTAATCCTTATAACAACCTGATGAGGTAGTTATTATTAGTATCCCCATTTAATAAATGAGCAAATTGAGATATTGAAGGGTTAATAATTTGCCCAAGGTCAAAGCTACAAAATGGCTTAGCCAGATTTGAACACAAGCAGGTTAGCTCCCCCACACTCAGCTCTTCATCACGGTGGTTAAGGAAGGAGCCATGGGGAGGTCCTAAGTTGAAGGAGCCAGAGATAGTCGTAGTCCCCATCTTAGAAATGCACACCAAAATGATATTTCCTTCAAGGCAGAAACCTATGTGATTCATGGTTCTAAACTTAAAGGACCAGAGTTAAGGCTAATTGTTACCACTGCAGTGGAAAGCTACTCGATTTTGTTGGTAGATAAATAGGTGCCTCCCGGAGCTGGAGTGGTTACAGCTGAGTCTGTGTGGACAGGTGTTTCAGAGTTGTTGACAAGAGTCCAGAGAGAATCTTGTTGCATTCCTGTCAGAGTATATCTGATAGCTGTTTTCTGAGACTCATTCATAATTAGTCTCATAAAACAGGAAAGAGAAGAAAGAAAAGGGCTAAAGTCATCACAATTTCTGATGTGTGATTGTGAAGGAATTTGTGACTACTGTAAATTTTGAATTTAGGTGTAGGTTATAGATAAGGAAGAGAGATGATAGGTCTTACGGTGGAGTATATGTTTCTTGAATGGCAAAGGAGGATAACAATACCTACTCACACTTGTGAGAATTAAATGATGTTATTATATATAAAAGCTCTTCGAAAATTGCAGTGCATTATGCAAATTTTCATTTTATGCAAAAACGGTTATATGGGAGAGCTTACAGCCAAATTAAGTTTTTATCCTGTCTAAATCCATCATGTGTATATATCTAGAATAGTTTGATTTATAAGTAGCTCTGAATTCTATAGTAAAAATAGACAGAGATGATTTGAATATTTGAAATCTGTGTATATTATCCAAATCTTTTAAAAGTTTTTATTTGCAACATCTTTTCTTTAGTAATACGTACTCTGTTACCCAGTTAGCAATTAGAAGGCATACATAATATTCAAATTTTATGTAATGAACACCTAAATAATTTAATTGCTCAATTTTTTAAAAAGTAACTTAAAAAATATTATTATAATCTCATGTCTTAAATTCTTTAGTACCAACAAAAGCAAGACCAAGATGTTAAGCAAGTTGAACACAAGCCAGTACAAAGTCGTTTAATACGTGTAAAAAATAAATCCAATATTTCACTTGCAGAGCAACAAGGTAAGATTTGTTTTCTTTAATAATAGCTTGATACTTGTCCTGATATTGAAGAAGTATATAATGAGAGTTCTTTACTTTTATATATGTCTTATTCTTGTCTCTAAGTTTTTTGTTTCTTTATCTCATTTAGTCCGTTGGGATAAAGAATCTGGTATCATTTTTGATATATATTTGTTAGTTCTGTTTACCAATAAATACTATTTCTAATGGATTTAAAAAACTCTCAGGTAGTGTTTTTCCTTTAACTTTACTTTTCGGTTCTTGTACAATTGAATGTCAGCATCTTTTTATCTATATATAGGTTTATATTTATATCATAGTTGTCTGTTTTAAATTTATAATTTAAAGGCAGGGGTTATGGCTTTTAAGGTGCTTTGTAAGGGCTATTTAGTGTTGTGTTGACCAACAAGTACAATTTAAGAAACAAAGGATTCTCATGTTAAATGCTATTATATGAATGAATTTTCTGTAGTGTTAATTATCAAAATTGTGTGGTTGACCTTTAATTCTACAATCAGCATCACAGCATTTTGATGTCGTCTTTATGTTTCTGCAAGGCTGTTGGCCTTATGCTTTATCTTCTTGTTTCTTAGTCATTTAAATTTTGTATAATCTAAATTCTGAAATTTGGCAGTAGAAATTAAGATGTTGTCTGTTTAAAAACTTTCTGTCCACAATCCAGGGAGAAGTATTACGAATATTTTGAGCAGTGGAATGTCTTTCTTTGCTTTTATAATTGTGGTTTTATGTCATGTATTGAATGCCAGTGTAATTGCAAATGTAACTGTGTATTTGGTGTTTTGGAGAGGATCTATATGAGGAAGTGCTCAAGGTATTTGTCAAGATTATGCTATATGAGGTGTAGGTTTTACTTTGCTGTTTGTTTTCTGTTCTCTTGCTCCAACTTTTCAGAACTTTGCCCTCCCAACCACTTTTTTAACCTAACCATGGTACAATAGTGTTAATGTTATATTTTAGAATCCTATGGAAAATTACCTGTAAAACTCTTCTCATGGTGATTTAAATATTAATCATGACACTATATAGATATGAGCAAATAAATGTTCTTAAGATAATACAAGACTGACTTTATGTCCTTCTACGGAGTATTGTTACCATTTGTGGTCAATGACAGTACATTTAATTTAGTTTTTAAAAAATTATAATTTCTAAAAATTATAAATGAATTTTGTTTCCCTAGGGGATGTTGTATGTAATAAAACAATTTTTTTTCTCAGCTGATAGGAAAATATCTTCGGTAAGATTTTAAGCGTAAATATCTTTCTTTAGGAAAGTGACATTGTTTTCAATTTCACATATATGAATGTCTGACCACAAGATGGCAATAGTTAAATTTTTGTTGACTTATATCATTAAAAAATGTCCAATTAACATTTAATAAGTCAATAAAATTCATAAGAAGAATAAAAGAAACCAAGGTATTAGTTAGTAGGAGGAAGTTTTATTCGGAAAGAGTTGGACTTAATATATGTAAAATTTTTTTCATTTAATTTTATATCTAATACAAAAGTTAGGAGAGCAGACCTATGTCACCTTTGACTAAGACAAATAAATACCTAGTGAGCTATAAAGAGAGCATTTTAAATAGAAGTCAAGTGTTTCACTACGTAATTGATACATATCTCCATACTGAGTATTTTTGAATGAATATGATTGCCTTGGCAAATATAGTCAGTTATGACTTTTTTCCCATAAATTTTGTGGGTTTTATTGTTTTTCTCTGATGAAGCTCTGAGACATTGCCAAATGTTTCAGAGAATAGGAAAGTCAGAATGCCAAAATAATCCTCTAGGGCTCTCAGGACTTTGGGTGACCTTGAAGCAATTTAATCCTATCTCCTACACAGAGGCCTTGAAGATAATGAGAGAAACTCACCTTATCACAAGGGAATCAAAACCACGTCTTTTCTGGCAAATAAATGCTTCTAAGAATACTTGAACTCCAAATTATGGCTGTTTCAGGGGAAGTAGCATGTATTTCACTTTGAAATGTGTAGTAGTTTAATGTGTGTATATATATAAATCAAGCAGTTTACCAGCAGTAGCAACTCTTTCAATGATCATCCATTAAAAGTTGACTGAAGATGTGATAGGACATAGGTTCCAGCACTGTGCTTCTGGGAAATCTGTAAAATCTTTGTTTTCTTCCCCCCTTGATTATTACTTTCAGATTTTAATGTAAAAGAGAGAAATTGATTTGATTGTTCTGGCAGATGATATCTTTAGAGTCTAAGAGTAAAACTCTTTCATTTGGTATTGAATTCATTGGGTGTATTTTTGACCACGTGATACCACTTATCTGATTCTATGTCCCGATTAATATCTCTAACAGTTTTATAGTGAAAACAACTTTTTAAGTGATTTTAATGAGTCATTTTAATTTTTTTCCCTTTTACTCTGCAAGTTAACTTTCACTGCATCTTTTACTGTGCAAGTTAATTTTTTTCAATACTAATGAGAGACTAATTTTAAATCCATTTATTTGTTACGAACCCAGGAACAAATTAAATTCTATCAAGTGATGTGTTAAAATAGTTAACTTTAAAAACTATTTTCCTTTTTTAGTTTTTCTCTTAAAATTTTAAGACCATCATACTAAATAGTAATTAGAAAGTCAAACATTCTATATATAATCAGTGGGGAAAAATTAGATCATATGTTTTGTGGTTAAATGCTAGGACAGATTAGTTGTCAAAGATGCTTGAAAATCACAGCATTCTTCAGTTTTCTTATTTGTAGATTATATATGTTGCTCAGAAAGTATGTATTAAAGTGCTCAAAGTAATAAATGTAATTGCAATAATTTATCAAAAGCAGGTTACATTTTTGTGAGAAATATACTTACCTAATCACAGATGGATGTTTTTGGCATTATGTCCCGAGTTTAATTCCCAGCCATCTTAGCACCATTTATACCTCACATACAGTGATTGTGACTTTAAATATGTGAGAATTAGGAAATCCAAAGTGTATGTATATTTAGAATCTATTTCTGACCACATGCACAAATGAAATCATTTTTGTTCTTTTATAAAGTGGTAAATTTTTTACCTTAGTATTTGAAATATAGCTAAATTACAATGGCTATCACAATTATAATTAATCTTAGTAATTTCAAAATCACAGTTAAAAGTTAAGTTGATTTTTTTTTTTTCTCTTAAGGTGTGACAGTGATTTCAAAATCGTGTGTCTGGATCTCTGATAGGAAGGGGATGGGGTACAGACTAGTAATTCTGCCAAAAATCCACAAATACATACGTGTAACAAGCATTGTCTGAATAAATTTATCTTCTATAAATCCATGCTATTATTGATTAATAAAATAGGAATTCACTTTAACATGTTGCGGAATTTGGGAGTTTTGTTTTCACCCAGGATGAGGAAAGTGGAAAGAGTATTACTTCCACCCTAACTATTTAATGTCAGATAAACTACAAAATCATAACATTTCTTGACTCCATCAGAGAGCTTATGATGCAGAGTGACTAAGTAGCCTAAAGTCCAAGGAAAGACAGACTCCTCCAAAGAGATGAGACACAAGCACTATCTCACTGTGCCAGAGCACAGAACAGGAAGAAATACCAGGCACCACACAAGCGGATAAGATGTATTTGGCTAAACTTTTTTAATGGGTTGCTAAAGGCCAAGCATAGAACCATTGGTAGCTACAGATACAAGGGGAGTTCACTCCCATTTGTAGTCTCTTCTCTACAGACTTATAGAAAAGAAAGGCTGGGAGGTAGGACAGGAGACTAGTCTCCTTTACTGGTACACGCCTGGAAGTGAAGAGTGACTGCCACTGCCAGAAAGATTGGATGACGCATTTGGACCCTTTCCCTGTAAGAACAGAAGCCTTAATTCGCTGGGGAAGAGGTAGCATATCTGTCACCTGCAGAGTATAGGTGAAAACCAATTGTGGCTGGGAGGAGGGTAAAGAAAAAAACCATCCACTCTTGGGGGAAAGGAAAGAAATAGTCTTAGGCCCACAATCTATTATTAGTACTATTAGAGGACTCTCATTGCTGGGAGAGGGGTAGGAAACTCGCTTGCACAAAACTTGTTAAAGAGACAAGGCAGAGTTTGGCTACCACAGGGAGGAGGAACAGGATCACTAAAAAAGCCCCACTGCAAGACCCAGGCATACAGGATCTGCTTGGGACTGAGGCTGGACCAAGACAACAGAGAACTACTCCCTCCCCATCTCTCACCATGAAACCAACAAGTATAGAGTAACAAGCAGCAGCAGGCTACCAGTGGGCAAGGCACAAGAGTGTAGAGAGAAACTCCTTCTATGGTGCAGGTGCACAGTGAAGGCTGAAAGCTGAAGGTGGAACAGGAATATTGAGAAAAACCCTGTGGCATCCCAGGGCCCACCCTAAACACAAAGTAACACTAGAGGATTTTGAAGCTAGTGGTACACCAAAGTTAACTGCAGCAACAACAAAACTCAAAGTCAACTTAACTTCTGACCTGATTGACTCAACTCCTCACATTCATAGCCTAGCTGAAGAAAAGTGTTCCCATTTCCAAGCTTAAATACTACTTACCTAAATCTCTATTGTTGTACACACAATGTCTGGCGTTCAGTCAAAATTAAAGGCAAGAAAAAACAAGAAAACAACAACAATCCACTCTTAAGAGACAAAGCAATCAAGACAACAAGACTCACAGATGACTCAGATGTTGGAACTGTCATACAGGGAATTTAAAATAACTATGATTAATGTGTTAAAGGCCCTAGTAGAAAAGATAGAATATGTATGAACAGATGGGAATTGAAGCAAAGAGAGGGAAATTATAAGAAACAGTCAAATAGAAATGTTAGGGAGGAAAACAGTAGTACAGATGAAGAATGACTTCAGTGGGCTTATCAGTAGACTCAACATGGCCAAGGAGTAAGTAAACTTGACGATAGTCAATAGAAAGTGAAACACAAAGAGAAAGAAGAGTGAAAAAAAATCTGAGTATCCAAGAGCTATA